ATGTCGTCTGCATGCTCTAAGTCAAGAAGCCGTTCTCCTGGGAGTAGCTCCACACCTTCCAAGTCATGTCCTGTAAATGCAATCTTCATGACTTCGTCAATAACAAAGTTGAAGAGGAAAGGTGACAACGGGCATCCTTGTCTCACACCGCTGGACATATTGAAGAGTGGTGACAGCTTGCCGTAAGCCCTCACTCTGCCCGTGCTACACGCGTATAATGCTCGGATAACATTTACATATTTCTCGGGCATATTGTTCCTGAGTAGACAACTCCAAAGGGCACATCGATCAACTGAATGGAAGGCACCTTTGATGTCGAGGAACACGATTACGGTGGGCCGTCAATATGTGTGGCGGTGCTCCAACAACTGACGCAAAGTGAAGATGTGGTCGATGCAGCCATGACCTCGACGAAACCCGGCTTGCTCCTCACGAATCTGGCTTCCACGAGCGCCAATCAGTCTGTGAAGGATTATTGAGGCGATGGAAATCAGACTGATTCCTCTATGGTTGCCGCATTCCGAACGCGAGCCTCATTTGAAGATGGGAACAATAATGGAGCAGCTCCCACCGTTACACTAGTGATTCATGTAAAGCATCAACAAGAGCAGAACCTCCGAATTTGAAGAAGGCTGGAGGAAAATCATCTGGTCCCGCGGCTTTGTTCAATTTCAACAGTCCGATCTCACGTTTGACTTCTGAGCGAGAGGGTGGATCTAGAGGGACAGCCCAGGGAGCAGGGCGATCACTGGCCGGCGAAGAACCGAACAATTCTAGCCGATTAAATTGCTTTTCAAAATGCTCAGCCCAACGCTTCAAACGTTTTGACAAATTGTGGATAGGTTGTCCACTCTCGTCACGTATAGTTTCATCAACACCAGGTCACCTGCTGCCCGTTTTCCGTATCAGAAGGAATACCTTAAGATGGTTGCCAAGAGCAGCGGCTACTTCCATCTCTGACGCACAAAGAGACCACCAAGATTCGCGGTCTCTCTTTAGGCTAGCATGGAGTCCTGCCCGGAGCTCTTTGCGAGTATCATTGTGTTCGCTTCCAGTCGGAATATGCCGGCGAACGTCGATATGTTACAGAGACTGGGAAGAGACCCAATATCCATGTTGGCAATTAGACATACCACATGAGGATTTGCCTGATGCTAGTAAGGTCTGGTGAACACGTGACCAGTGGCCATCAATTGTCTCCGGTGAGTGGTTCCTCAACTCGCATGTCAGCATACTTTGGTACGCATTCAGAACAGTTGGCTGGTGTCAATGCGCTCACAGCGTCGTCGTGGACGTCCGCCAAAACGCATCCGCATGTCAGCACATACAAGTGCATGATCGGTGTCCACACATGTGCTCCAAATCGAGCGACAGTTCTGGATGCAGCCTCTCGAGCGGCAACTGATAGCAATGTGATCGATCTGCGTCCAAGGCTGGTGGGCGCCAAGTCACCCTCCGGCGAGTGCTGAGTCGGAAGTTAGTGCTCGCAAGAAATAAACGGGCATCTTCACATAAATGAAGTAACCGTTCACCGTTATCATTACGGGAGTCTGCACCGTGCCGACCGCCTAAATGCATTTCATCAGTTCACAACTTTCCAACTTGTGTGTTCAGATCCCCATCCAGCACAACAGTGTCCGTGCTTCTTCTGTGGCGAAGGAGCTGGGTCAGTTGGCGGTAGAAGTCGTTCTTTACCGAATCATCGCTACAGTTTGTGGGCGCGTAGGCAAGGATGATGTATAGACACCTATTAGTCCCGCGCGACTTCGAGGCTTTGAAGGTGCCAGCCAATCGGACCGCACACATCCGGCTACTGATTGGAATCCAATCAAACAGAGCAGCTTCAGCTCGGGGACTCAGGGCAATGCCAACACCAGCTTGTCCGGTGCCCGAAGCTGCATCGTTGCCGGATAGCCGCGATGAGAATCTACTGCTTGCGTCACTTGAAGGGATCGCAGAGTGAGCACAGAGCTCGAGTCTTGCAGGCAGGTCTCCGATAAGCAGCAGCTATCGATCGAGAGGGCAAGTGCTTCCTGTTGTCTGATCTGTAGTAGTGTGCGTACATTGAGGCATGCTAATCTGTAGCAGGATCGAGGGCTCCAAATGGAAGCCGATGAACTGGAATGGACCGCTTGGTTGGACATGGGCTTGTCGACAGGAGAGGAGTGACGCTCCGCGTTCACATGTGAGCTGAAATTAGAAGATAGATGCCTAGGAAAGTATGTTGGGGGAGGGCCAAGAATCGGGGGTTGAAAATTGGGGGGATGAAAGTGAAGTTGGAACGGGACGGTAAGAGGGGAAAAGCGCAAGAGGGGAATAAGAAGACGGGAATGCTTGAGCCCTCTGCCGTTGGCCGAGTGTTGTGCACTTTTGCTTTGCAACCATTAGGTCACCGGTTCGAATCCGCGTATGGGTGGGCTTCCTCGCGGTATACTCATTCTGCGCACGACTGATGTTGGTCACGCGGCAGCGAAGCGCCTTTACGGCGTACAGCTGACACATTATTATTTTGTTTCTATCCATTCTGCTCGATGCAGCGGATAGTGCGCCATTGTTATTCTCTGCGACGCCCAGAGCATCAGCAATTTTTTGAAAAGAGATTCGTTGTTTTGCGTGGGCAGGATACTGTCAGGTTGCCCATGCCTAAACAGGAGAACGCTTAGGGTTCTCAACCAAAGCCTTTGGTTCAAAAACCTTACCGCATGGCAGCGGGTTTTGCGTTGGGCTACAAATAGTCCATTTTAAGAGATAAGGTGCCAATCTCATTCCAACCCCCAACCTTGAAGACCAGGAGGCTTTGTCTGGCCTCTAACCATTGACCAATCTGGTATGAGTGCCTTTGAAAGTGCAAAAGCACCACCCAGCATAGCTCAATGGATCACTGAGGCACACATTCCATCACGCCACGGTAAGGTCCAGCCTCATTGCGATGGGAATTTTTCGGCACATTTCCTGTGACCCCTCACACTGATTCGTCGTATTTGGTCTTACGCTATCCGGCGTTATGCACGAACTGCCACAAGCCGCGGCGTGTTACACTATCATCATCTTCTTCTTCATCGTGATCATCATCATCATAACAACCACTTGATCTTATGCTTTGCTGCCATACGACCATACCAACCTACTGAACGAAGATTAATAAGCGTCAGAAAAGGGGGACTTATCAGGAAACCTTACTGCCCTTGTCAGAAATTTAGAGTCAAAGCGTCTACACGTTGTCAAGAACATGCCATGGCAAACAGCTGACCATATTGCAAACATAAGGCGGCATCGGCAAGACAGTGCTCTTGCGGCTTTAACTGCCCCGCTTCACAATCAGCCATTACGCCACAGACAACTCAACACCATACACACTTTAAACAGACAATCCGACTAGGAGACGACAGTAGCGAGCCATATCCTGCAACGTCTCAAGCCAAGCACAAGACCAGTCACGTGGACTCCAGCCTAGTAGGTGAGACGGACCGACGGCAACGAGTTGGGTCTTCAGTGACTTCATTTCCCGTTGCCAAGTTAATATTTTCCCACCTCGGGCCTTGCGCCACCCTGCATCTGGCAAACAGAACAAAGCTCTCCTCGGCATACATACTACATGCCCAAGTCAACGCAACTTATTCAGTGCTATTTCTTGTTCTAAGGAACTAGCTTGGGTATCATTGCCAAGCATGTATCTACGCACATCATCGTTGCGCACACGCTGGTGCCACCCGACACCAGCTGTGCTTCGCAGACAGTCATGATCAGACTTGGAGGCGCCTCATATTTACAGACCGAAGGGTCCAAGTCTCACTCCCATAGATTATTACAGCCCTCATTGTGGCCTTGTAAACATGGCCTTTCAAACGCAGGAAAAGCCCTTTTTGTCGCCACTTATATCACAGGTTCGAATAAGCCGTTTTGCAATGCGTGAACTGACTTCAGTTGCTATGCGCCCATCGTTGCTTATACAGCTGCCTAGGTAAGTGAATCGATCAACTACATCTGGTTCCTCGCTATCTAAGGTCAAGGAATCATCAGATGGCTAGTGGTTTTGCATAAACTCCTTGCACCTTAAAGGTGCGAAGCGCATATCAAATAATGAGACCACCCTAGAGAGGCTATTCGGGGTTTATTGCGTCGTCCCAGCATCGTTAAACAGCAAAACGATGTCGTCCGCATAATCAAGGTCAACTAGCTTCTTCCTCGGCAGCACTTCAACGCCTGCATCGTGAGAACTCGCAAGGGAACATTCCATGATGGAGTACACGACGAAATTGCACAAAAGTGGGGAAATTGGACAACGCTGACGAACGCCATTTTTTGTCGGAAAGTTATCCTACAGAATTCTACAGTATTCCGTCGCCCATTCAGGATTTGCCTCCGTCTTTGTTTCTTCAGCCCACCGGTTGAATAATTTGACCTGTTTTCCTATCATGCATGCTCCTAGGTGCTTCACGGACGTCGATTGTTCGCTAGTTAGGAAGAAAGATGTAGCGTCATCACTCGATCTCCTCTTGTCTCTCCCAACTCAGTCATGCTGGTGCCATCGGTATCCTGCTCCCATCAGCTTTTTGTAATACTTTACTGTCGCTGTTATCTTTGTTGGTATATTTGTTATAACGCCGATACTGTCCATAAGTTTTACTCGCCGCACGTGAGTCGTACGTTTTCTTTTTCATTGAGTTCTATCTCGACCAACGGGGTCTCACCGTTTGTTACATGCTCGGTGTTGATCTCGTATTTCTTCATTTTGACACGGATCTCTTTTCATACTAGGACCGTTGCACGTTACCGCCGTGTTTGAGTTTTTAGGTGATCGCAACTGCTGATCTCTACTATGCTATAAACCACACTTGATGGATTATGTTTCGTGGTTTAGCGAAATGCGACTGCGTCACTACTAGACCTTAACTTCGACTGACTGGTAGTCTTTATCATTTTCTTGCGAAACTTTTTGCGGGAGATTGTAGTTGTTCATTTTATTTGGAAATATCTACCGGTCCTCTTATTCTCTTACAGCTGACAATGGTCCCTGGGGCGGTAGAGAAATCCGAGACGAAGCACGATGTAACAGATACTGACAGTGATTCTGATGATTCAGCTCCAGAACTTGTTGATTCTAAGGAACAGGGTGACGCATCGAAAACCAGTGCTTTGCCTGACGATTCATGCAGAAACAAGCAGTCAAGGAGCGAGAAAAAAGCGAGGAGAGCCATCTTGAAACTCGGTTTAAAGCCGACATCCGGCATATGTCGTGTTACTATTCGGAAAGCGAAGACCATTATGTTTGTCATCAGCCAAGCGGAGGTTTACAAGTCTTCTGCTTCTGACACCTACATTATATTCGGCGAAGCCAAAGTGGAAGATATGTCTGCGCAAGCACAAATAGCTGCTGCCGAGAAGTTACGTTCTCAAGGTATGGGTGGTCCCGGATTTGGTGGGTGCAGCGCTTCCAGGGACTCAGGCGTCATTTCAAAGTCTGTTATTACCGAAGAATCTGAAGATGATGAGGAAGTAAGCATTTTTCTTTTTTACTGCATTATTCTAGCCCGATGCCACCGGTCTGGGAGAGAAAGATATTGAGCTGATCATGCAACAAGCCAGTGTTTCGAGGAGTAAGGCTATAAGAGCATTACGAGAAAACGACAATGATATGGTCAACGCTATCATGGTAAGCGCATTACTTTCTCTCATGTCTGTTTTAGTCACTCACCGTTTGAATTCTTTCAGCCACGAATCAAATACAGAAATAATGAATTCTTGCACTGTTTTGCTTCACTGAATTTCTATAGCGTGTTGGCCTCTGTCACGCTCCGATTTTGCTAATCTGCAATTTCATATAATTCATGAAAATTGAGCCTACTGACCAACAATGTTGATTTATTTTTGATCTTTGTGTCTCCAGCCCATCTACTGCACATGTTTCCAGGCCGCATTTCCCTCCTGTTACCGCCTTATATGTAAGTCTCACTCAGATATCTGATACGTTCCAGCTTCGGGGGCCGGTGTTCAGTCAATTCGGGTCCCACATGCAGACTTCTGTTTATCACCACGCTTTATTGTAGCCATTCCCATTATCGGCTGTTTGATGATTTCATCTGACCACAAGTTACGTCGCTCTTTCATCTCCCGGGCTCCCATTTTAGGCGACATAAACAAGCAATATAGTTTATGTACCAAACCTCGGCCACCGTTTCACATTGTTTTTTCGGTGTTCGAACGCTTCATCACTTGTTCTAACCACGCTTTCCTTAAGTCATGTGTTGTATCTCAGAAGCGTGCATACAAGCCAGCTGCTTTCTGCTGTTATTCTCCGGTTTCAGCCAAACAGGTTGTGCGGATCGTATCTTCGTCCCCTTCCAACTTCACTTTCATCCCATCCTTTTCAACCCCCCAATTCTTGGCCCTCCCCATCTTGCTTAAATGGTCGCTTGTTTTCTAGTTTCAACTCACACGCAATTACAGGGCGTCGCTCCAGTCCAGTCGATAAGTCCATGTTCAGCCAAGCGGACAAAGTCAGTTCATCCGTTTTCCTTTGGAGTCTACGATCCTCGCTAAGACTGACATGCCTCAACGTGCGCACTTTGCTACAGATTGGCCAACAGGCAGCACTTCCCTGAACAAGAGACCCTATCGTTCGATATTCGCTGTTTATCAGAAACCCGCCTGCAAGATTCAAGCTCCATGTTTACTCTGCGATCCACCACATGCGACCCTGGCGGTACATTCTCATTGCGCCTGTCTGGCTGTTATAATCTTCTCACTAGACGCAATTCCAAAGATAACAATTTCCTACTTTCTCCCGGACACCTTTCCTCCTGAGATGTCGTCCGAGATATACGACGAAAGCTTAAGATTAACTTGCAGTCTTCGGGACGGTGTTCTCCGCCTGTCGGTCCATCACCTTGGCAGAAGAGCCCGAGAACTTTGTTCTGATGTCCGTGTTCTGGATTCGTTGCTCGATTGTGTGCAGTCGTCCACTGCTACCTTCGGCAAGTTGAGGCTTTCCACCAATAAATCGAACAGGAGGTCAGTAGGCCTTGCTTGTTCTGGTTGGCACAATGTGGGCTGTAACTGGTTTGTATGCCGTGCCCAGATCTGTGCGCCCACCATCACGTCATATATGACGTTTCCGCGCTTGCTTTTGACCGTCCCTGGCGTCCATTTCGCATGGCCTTTCCAACAGTCGCGTACTAGCACATTCTGTCCAAGCGTAGACGATCGCTTCTTTGCGCCATGCCACCGGTTCAAATCCTGTTCCATTCTGCGGTTTTCTTCACTAACAGAGGACTCCGAGCACGGTCGGGTGGCGTCGAAAGGCATGCGGAGCTTCCGGTTCATCATGGCCTGTGCTGGAGAGACTCCGTCTGGCGCTTGTGGACTCGGTGTTGATCGGAAGAGGGAAAGGAACCGGTCAACCACCTCCTCTATACGTCCCTCCCCTTTTGATTTGAGGAGAGCTCTCTTGAACGTATCGACATACGTTTCTGCCTGGCCATTTGACTGTTGGTGAAACGGCTGCAAGCGAACGTGCTGTACGGCGCATTGTTTGCAGAACTCCGTAAACGTTGCTGAAGTAAATTGTGAGCCATTGTCAGTGACAGTTGTATCAGGACAGCCGATTGTGCTAAAGGTTTGGCGCAGTTTCGATACAGTGGCATTAGTGGTTGTGCTATCCATAAGAAATATTTCAAGCCACTTGCTGTATGAGTCGACTATAATGAGGAAACCTCTGCCGTTGATCGGTCCTGCAAAGTCGACATGGATGCGACACCATGGCTTAGTAACTTTTGGCCATGAATAGAGTTCTGATTTTTGTGGCGCTTTCAAGACATTGGCCCACTTTTGGCAGCGTTTAGCTATTTCTTCTAACTGTTTGTCCATGAAGGGCCAGTATACCTAACTGCAGGCAAGCGCCTTCATCCGGTTACTTCTAGGATGCCTGGTGTGGAACTGTCGAATAAGGCGCTCCTGAAGTGCCTTGGGGATGACCACTCTTTCCGAAAATAGTATGCAGTCGTTTACAATAGATAGCGCGTGTCTCCTCTGGTAGTACTGTTGCAACTCGGCTGATGCACATGAACGTGGCCAACTTGTTTTGTGACATTGTGTAACCTTCTTGAGTATTGGATCCCGAAGTGTTTCGGTTCGTACAGCTTCTGCGGTAACTGGTAGGCCGTACAATGCATCAGTTGCCAGAATGATAACGTCAGGTTCAATCTCGACCGAGGCAATGATTGTGTTCTCATGTTCTTGCTGGTGGGCATCAATTAGGCGTGACAGTACATACGCTTGGCCAATGGAAACTGTCGACTGGTATTGGATCTCGTAATCATACCCCATTAAGGTAAGAGCCCAACGTTGTAGCCGGTTGGTTGTGTAGGCCGGAATGCCTTTTTTTTAACCAAAACTAGCCAGCAAGAACTTGTGATCTGTCAGAAGCTTGAAGCGGCGGCCGTATAGCATTTTGTGGAATTTCTTGACCGCGTACACTATGGTCCATTTTTCTTTCTCAATCTGGCTGTAATTCTTCTCGACCTTCGTAAGTGTTCTGGCGGCATGGGCGCTTGCTTTCTGAGATCCATCGGTGTCCGTGTGTGCAATTACTGCACCAATCCCATGGCTTGATGCATATGTGGTTCGGACAGTCTCTTTGGAGGGATCAAAATGAGTCCAAATCAAATTTGAGGAAAGCAGTATCTTGACCCGTTTGAAGGCATTCTGGCCTTCTGATGTCCAGTTCCAAGTTTGGCCTTTGGCTAGTAGCTTGTTTAACGGGGCACGCAGGCGGTGCATCTCAGGCAAGAATGCGCTGTAGTGGCTGATGAGCCCACAAAAGGAACGCAAGGACTGTAGATCTGTTGGTGGAGGCATTTTTCTAGTGGCTTCTATGTTTTCCGGATCTGGTCGCCTCCCATCCTTTTGGAGGATAAAACCGAGGTATTTGATGAGCGACGTGAAAAATGTGCATTTATCTCCACGCATCCGGAAACCGTACGATCGTACGACTTCATCCAGGCGGTTACATAGTTCTTCTGGTGTTCGACGCATCACTATGATATCATCCAAATATGCAGCGGTTCCAGAAACGACCGCTAGCTTGGTATCCACTAACTGTTGGAAAATGCCTGGCGCTGTTTTCACACCAAATGGCAAACGGTTGTATTGGAATAGCCCACGATGAGTGTTGATCGTCGACAACTCACTCGAGGCTTTGTCAACATCCACTTGAAGATAAGAATCGGATCGATTAAGCTTTACCAAGATATCTTCCGGTACAGGTAATGGGTACTAGTAGTCGTCCAGCGCGGCGTTGAGTCCAGTTGAGAAGTCAGCGCAGACGCGTGTCTTTCCATTTGTTTTCTTCACTGCGACAATAGGTGCAGCCCATGATGAGTAATTGACGGCTGTGATGACTCCGGCACGTTCCAGTCAATAGAGTACTTGCTCAACGGTTGACATGGCTGCATGTGGTACCAGCCTTTCAACCTTGAACGCTGGTTTAGCATCTGGTCACAAGTTCAGCGTTGCCTTGAATTTCGTACAATGGTCCAAGCCATCCTGAAAGACAGAGGCACATTTTCCTTTCAGGGTACTTGTCATGTCTTCGACGGACTTTGATGATGGGTCTGGACTTGCTCGAACTCGGTTGCAGATCTGCTTCAAGGTAACATCGAGGAGATTCAACTTTTCAATCCAGTCGAAGCCAAGAAGATTCAAATTCGGTCGGTCTGAAATGTAGCATATTCCCTATCTATCTCATGAACTTTTCAACCCCGACTTACCCTATGGAACAATAAGTGAGTTCCAGACATTCCTGGTGATAGCACACGTCCTAGATATTCCAAACGTTAGCAGTCAATCGCAAGGCTGACTGGAATCCATCTCACAGAGCAGGAGTCTGTGAAACTTGCTGACGAGTAGGACCGGCTCTGTGGTTACAGTCGAACAATCGGATTCTGCGTGGTCAAGCTCGTTATGTTAGTGAACGGAAAAGATCATGCTAATTCTATCCCTTTCTGCACAGCAAAACAATCACTGGGGAAATGTATCCAAACCCAGCCTGGTGTCCAACTGATGTTAAACCCATTATACACCAGATGGATAGCTCATGTCCGGGGAGCGACTGCAGTACGTATGCATCCACGCACACTCCCAACCGAATTCCTTTCTCCAATACTACAGGTAAACTCTGGCCTACACACCATCGGTAGCCGATCGAACCGATCTGAATCCAATATGCCGTTTATAAGCACTTTCGCGATTGAAGGATGCCATGCGAACAGTGCTATCAGTACCGAGCCAAAGCAACCTGTCGATTTATTGAGTTAACCGTGCATAGGTTATGATTTCAAGGTAACAGTAAGCTGCTAAAAATTCCAACGAAGCGTAAATGTCACTCGCAGTGTTTACTGTTTTTTTTGCCAATTGGACAGAATGATATCTGTCCATGGAACGATAATAAAGGCCACTTAAAAATGAGTGTATGTGAAGATGCTTCGTGTCACATGGTTTAGTTACAAGCGTAACGAACTCCGACTGCAGTAAGTCGTTTTTGGATGGACTCGGTGACAAGATGCCTTTTCATACAAATTGCAAGTAGTACTTCGAGTATACGAATGTATATTGTCATTCCAGGCTTTGGGTACAGTGAATGAGCCAATGGAAGTGAATGCGCGAGTGGCGATTAACGGATAATTGGAAATCGCACCACAGACCATTAATACATCACTGTCGTTGTGGCGCCATGGTTCATACGCCAACGCGATCCGTGAAGTGAAACTTATAAGCGCCGACATGGATATTAAAACCAAGCAGACTAGGTCCGAACCAGCAACTCAAGTGGTTCGGGTATTATCGACCATCTTAACCCGCATTCGAGCGCCATCAAAGGGCGACATCTGTTTATGAACAGGACCCTCTAAATTCGATCTGCTTTGCGATCCCCTCACAATGAAGGGCCACCACAAACCCGCTACGTTTGAATCTGGAACTACCTAACTTCCTCTGCATCAAAAGTGGTAGAAATAATCGAACCGACCTAGGTCAACCTCCAAATGCAGTGCTATAAGAAAATGCGTACCGTAACCGATAGGCATAATGGGTATCAACGATACGTCCCGCAACAATAATCTACGTTCGCAATCTTTTGAACTTGTCGCTTCTAATTGGGCAAACCGCGCACCTCTCCTTGATCATGTTATACAAAGGAGGCTGAAATGAATTTGTGGAAAACCTAACAACTGTGCGAAAGTGCATCATACTACATAGAAGAGCGATCTTTGAAGCAAACAACCAGTCTCCTTGATTAATAAAACGCATACTTTGCGTCTTTGTGCACTCTTTCGACTGCTGATTTACCACATCACTACGACCTAGCATTACTACCACATTTCTTAAACCAAATACTGATCTATTCAGCACCTGTGAAAAGCCTACATATTGATAAGAAGAC